ATCTACCAGACATGATATCATCACAAATAAAACCATAAAATATAAAAACAAAATAGCCATGAAGAAGGGAATTCCAGAAAAAATCAGACACAGAGCGAGAAAAAGAACAAATTACCGCTCAATTGTCTTTCAACAGTGAACTAACATAAGTACATAATAAATCAATCAATAACAAAACTAAACCACCAAGCCATCACAACGAAACACACAAACACATCGACACTTACTATCCGGGCCACAGTAAAGACAAAATACCGCGAAACCCAAAAATTAACACTACAACATTACAAGACATTGTACTCCAACAGGCACACCGGCCGCCATGCTCACGCCCTGTAATCCTGAGTCCCTAACATAGAAAGAACCAACCGCAGGCGCTGACTGCTCAACAAGTCAAAGATATACGAAACCAAGCACAACAAAAAAGAGAACCAAAAAAACCGCAACTACTCACTACAAGGTATAACTAATTCAACTACTACCAACATAGAAACAAACTAGACCAGGTGACACAGCCTATTACATTACAGGACATACGCGAAGGAGACGACAGGAAGAGGGAGACACACAAGACCAGACAATGAGGGTTGACTAAAGCGAAACTAAAAACCTCGCCACAATAAAAACACACGCTACCAACGCCCCTAGGACAACAAAAGGAAATACACTGACCAAAAAACAAACAACAAAACATGTAGCCCCACTCTGGAAACATCCCGGGAGTACACAAAAATCAGCCAGACACCAACGCGACCCTAGCCCACCCACCATCTATGACTCCTGGTAAGAGCCCACGGAAAACCCCACATCCGTACCGACTGCGAAAAGTACCCATACACAGAAAACTACATCTAGCACCCCAAAAGAAGACCACCACTGCAACAAGACCAAGCTTATCACCTCACCGTCCTTCTGAGCAGCCCTTTCAATCTTTTCCCCTCCCACAAACAACCACGCAACCCGGGGCATCCACCTATTAGCATCGAGAGCGATGCTCGCTGCGAGCCCACAAGCTTCCAACTCAAGCCAACAGCAATCGAACCAGAGAACCCACCTACACGAATCCATCACACCCGCCGACCACCCCCCATATCAACTCACAGCACAACACATCAGCCATCCTGCTGTTGTTAACACATTCTCCACCCACACTGATGGGATGGAGGTGGATCAACACCCAGCACAGGTTGGCCCACGCCTGTAACCCCTAGCAACGCCTGCGGAGTCGACGGGCGGATTGCTCGAGGTCACGGACTTCAAAACACCTAGCCCTGAGCCCAAGCACGCAGAGCCGCCGTCTCTACTAATAGAAATTAAAAGAAATTAATTGGCCAAACTAATTAATATATATAAGCAGAGAAAAATTAGCCTGGGCATTGGGTGCATAGGCTAGAGTGAGTGCCATGGCATCAGCCTAGCTCACAGCAACCTCAAACTCCTGGGCTCAAGTGATCCTCCTGCCTCAGCCTCCCGAGTAGCTGGAACTATAGGCATGTACCACCGTGCTCGTCTAGTTTTTTCTATGTATATTAGTTGGCCAATTATTTTTTTATTTATAGTAGAGGCGAGGTCTCACTCTTGCTCAGGCTGGTTTCGAACTCCTGACCTTGAGCAAGTCGCCTGCCTTGGCCTCCCAGAGTGCTAGGATTACAGGCGTGAGCCACGCGCCCGTCCTGGGGCTACATGTCTTTAAGTTAGGAATTTGGTTCATACATCACACTGTCTGCCAAATATGGACAGTATTTTTCTTAGAAGTTTTTTTTGAATTGATTTAATTTGACTCATTAGTTCACCTTTTGAAGAAATATAGGGTAATTCTGTTCTTTCTCTGTGATTTTTTCCCACCCCTCCCCCACTGTATATTTATATATGTGATGTATGTCTATATATGAACAGTTATAGTACACATTAACCTTTTCTTTCTCAGATTAAACATGCTCATTTCCTTAAACATGTTATTTCACATTTTGTCTATTTCAACCTGGTATTTTCTTGGTGTGATTGAACTTCCTTGGCTTTGTTTAGCCATCTATGTGCATATTTTCAAATATTTATCAGTGGCATTAAAATCCTATTTGATGTGAATTAAAAATTCTCAGCTCATTTCATCCTGTTTTTTTCACGCTGTAATTTGTCTTGCTTGGATGATATGAAAGACTATTGAAGGAATCCCTGGTCAAATTGGAGTAGAATGTAAATCTTAGAAGGGCAAAGTTAGATGTAGAACCATTTCTGCTAAAGGCTTCCCTTCAGGGGCTAGAAAGGTCCAGTGAGTCACTATCATCAGAAGGTCTATAGCAAGTGTTGAAGAGCTTGGCCCAGGAGTTAGGGTAGCCTGCTTTCAAATTCCGCCTCTTCCTCTTTCTTGCTATTTGATTGGGGAGATTAATGTTTTTTTAAGTTTCAGTTTCATCATCTATAAAAAAGGGAATAACAGTATCTACCTCATAGGGTCATTAGAATGAAATGAAAATACATGTATAGCACTTGCATAGTAAGGGTGTGAGCTGCTGCTGAAAGAAAACCATATATAGTTATGTCTCATAATTCTGCTTATAGATGACTGAGCTATATCCGTGATCTTAGCAAACTTTGAGTAGAAGGAAATGTTCTTAATCAGTAAAGATTGTGTACAGAAAACCTGCAGAGAACATATCTTTTTTTTTTTGAGACAGAGTCTCCCTTTGTTGCCCAGGCTAGAGTGAGTGCCATGACGTCAGCCTAGCTCACAGCAACCTCAAACTCCTGGGCTCAAGGGATCCTGCGGCCTCAGCCTCCCAAGTGGCTGGGACTACAGGCATGTACTACCATGCCTGGCTAATTTTTTCTCTATATATTAGTTGGCCAATTAATTTCTTTCTGTTTATAGTAGAGACGGCGTCTTGCTCTTGCTCAGGCTGGTTTGGAACTCCTGACCTTGAGCGATAGCCCACCTCTGCCTCCCAGAGTGCTAGGATTACAGGCGTGAGCCACCACGCCTGGCCTTCTGTAGTTTCTTAAGGTGACAACTGAGATCATTGATTTGAGACCTTTTCTAGTATGGGCCCTTACTGCTATAAACTTTCCCCTAAATACTATTTTTTTGTGGCATCCTAAAAATATTGATATCTTGTGTTTTCACTTTCATTCAGTCCAAAATACAAAGTACAGTTTAAAGTACTTTCCAATTTCTCCTTTGATTTCTTTTTTTTTTTTGAGACAGAGTCTCGCTTTGTTGTCCAGGCTAGAGTGAGTGCCATGGCGTCAGCCTAGCTCATAGCAGCCTCAAACTCCTGGGCTCAAGCAATCCTTCTACCTCAGCCTCCCGAGTAGCTGGGACTATAGGCATGCCGCCACCATGCCCGGCTAATTTTTTCTCTCTATATTAGTTGGCCAATTAATTTCTTTCTATTTATAATAGAGACGGGGTCTTGTCTTGCTCAGGGCTGGGTTTCGAACTCCTGACGTCGGAGCAATGCACCCGCTCTGCTCCATTGAGAAGCTAGGATTACAGGCGTGAGCCACTGCGCCCGGCTGATTTCTTTTTTTGATCTTTGCCCTGTTGGTTGTTTAGAAACACGTTCTTGAAACTTATTTCTTATTATTGTATTTTTTTTACTAGATAGTCTACCCAGGTTGAATAGAAATATATTGTTTTGGTTGCTCAGGAATATTGGGAAAGATTTTCCAGGACCTCGTTGATGTTACAGATTTAGTAATATATTCCATGTGGTCAGAGAACATATTTGTGTGACTTGAATCCTTTTAAGTTTGTTGCAGCTTTCTCTATGGCCAAGAGTATAGTTTATCTTAGGTCAAATTGGTTGATAATATTATTCCAATCTATATCCATACTGATACACTGAAGGCGCGCAGAGAGCGGGTGAACATCCATGAATTGGGAGTTGTGTTATTTTGTTGTACTTCTATCATTTTTTGCTTCAGCCGGTATTTTGAGCGAAGCTATGAATATTAGGGTGTACTGTGTTTCCCCGAAAATAAGACAGAATCTTACATTTATTTTTCCTCAAGAAGACACCCTTAGGGTTCTTTTCAGGGATGTGTTATTTGTTTTTTAAGTGACGGGTACAGCCAATCTACATTTATTCAAATATAGTTAAGTCATCGTCTTCTGGAACATCATGATAACTCTCCAAACCCTAATTCCATCCTGAATTTCTTGCAACTCTATTTCCTCTAGAACCATTGGCCCCAATCTCTCATGTCGAGCAGTAGAGCTCTCATGGGGCAGATGAGAAGGGCTGCTCGTCTTCTTTACTGCTCCACAGATGAAATGCATGGGTTGTGCAGATGTGCTGCATAGCCACACCCATCACTAGGTCTTATTTTTGGGGTAGGGCTTATATTACACAAATGCTTAGAAATCCTGTTAGGGCTTATTTTATGGGTAGGTCTTATTTTCGGGGAAACACAATATGTAGAGGACTATATATTAATACATAAAACTGTCATGTCCTTTTTTTTTTTTTTTTTTTTTTTTGAGACAGTCTCACTTTGTTGCTCAGGCTAGAGTGAGTGCCCGGGCGTTAGCCTAGCTCAGAGCAACCTCAAACTCCTGGGCTCAAGCAATCCTCTTGCTTCAGCCTCCCCAGTGGCTGGGACTACAGGCATGCACCACCATGCCTGGCTCGTTTTTTCTATATATATTAGTTGGCCAATTAATTTCTTTCTATTTATAGTAGAGACAGGGTCTCGCTGTTGCTCAGGCTGGTTTCGAACTCCTGACCTCAAGCAATCCGCCCAGCTCGGCCTCCCAGAGTGCTAGGATTACAGGCGTGAGCCACCATGCCCAGCCTTTTTAGAAGATTTTCTGCTGCTATTTCTTCAGGTTTTTTTTTTTCTGTCTCCTTCTGTCTTTCCCCTCGACATTAACATATCTTTTGGGCTTCCTTTTTTTTTTTTGTAGAGTCAGGGTCTCACCCTATTGCCCAGGCTGGAGTATAGTGATGTGATAATAGCTCACTGTAGCCTTGAACTCCTAGGCTCAAGTGATCCTCCTCCTCAGCCTCCCCAGTAGCTGGGGCTACAGGTGTGTACCACGACACCGGGCTATGCTTTTTATTTTTTGTAATGATGGGGTCTTGCTGTGTTGCCCAGGCTGGTCTGGAACTCCTGTCTCAAGCAATCCCCCTGCCTCCCAAAGTGCTGGGATTCTGGGCACAAGCTATTGCACCCTGCGTATATTAGGCTTGTTAAAGTTGTTACACAGCTCATTGATGCTCTGTTTAATTTTTAAAATTCTATTTTTCTCTATTTCATGTTGTATAGTTTCTTGTGCAGTTTAAAGTTTAGTAAATCTTTTCTTCTAAAATGTCTAACTTGCCATTAATTTCGTTCTGTGCGTTTTTCTTTTTTTTTTTGAGACAGAGTCTCGCTTTGTTGCCTAGGCTAGAGTGAGTTCCATGGCGTCAGCCTAGCTCACAGCAACCTCGATCGCCTGGCTCAAGCAATCCTTCTGCCTCAGCCTCCCAAGTAGCTGGGACTACAGGCATACGCCACCATGCCCGGCTAATTTTTTTATATATATATATTAGTTGGCCAATTAATTTCTTTCTATTTATAGTAGAGACGGGTCTTGCTCTTGCTCAGGTTGGTTTCGAACTCCTGACCTCGAGCAATCCGCCCACCTCTGCCTCCCAGAGTGCTAGGATTACAGCCGTGAGCCACCACGCCCGGCTGTGCGTTTTTCATCTCAAACATTGTAGTTTGTATCTCTAGATGTTTGATTTTATGTCTTTTATATCTTCTATTCTCTACTTTTTGAACGTGTGAAATATAGTTATAATAACTGTTTAATGTTCTTCTCTGCCAACTCTAACTTCTATGTCAATTCTGAGTCTATTTCAGTTAATTAATTTTTTTCCTAATTATTACTCCTTTTATGTTCTGCTGCTTTGCATGCCTCCTAATTTTTGAATGGATGCCAGACATAGTAAATTTTACTTTCTCAGGTGCTGAATATTTTTGTAAATATTTTCTGTAAATATTCTTGAACTTCGTACTGAAACCACAGCAAAGTTAGTTGGAAACAATTGGTCACTTTGGATCTTGCTTTTAAAATTTGTTAGGCAGGACCAGAACAGTGTTTAGTCTGGACTAATTATTCCCCACTAAGAGAAGCCCCTTTGGAGTATTCTACCCAGTGTTTCCTGAATTATAAGGTTTTCTAGAGTGTCTGGTTGGGAATCAGACACATCCCCTGCCCTGTTGAGCATCAGATACCATTTGCTTCTGTCTTGTGTGATGATCTTTTTCTGTACCATGGCTAGTTCTTTACATGCATGCACCACTTATTACTCTGCTCAATACTTAAGGGGCAACCTTTTACAAATCTCTGGTGTTTTCTCTCTGTGTAGCTCTCATACCTTTTCCTGTGCATTCTAGCTGCCTTAGATTCTCTCACCTAGTTCCTTCAGCCACTACTTCAGGTCTTCTCACCATCTTGGTTGTTCACTGAATTATAACTGACTTGTCAGTTTGCTTAATGTGACGTTTCCAGAATTGAATGTATTATTTAACTGATGATCTGTTATCCTGTAATCCAAACATATAAAATGATTTATGGAAAATGTTTTGGAAGTTAGCTGGAAAATTTTAGTTGGTGAAAGTTATAGAAAATCTCTGCTTTAACTTATCTAGTTTTTATAATTTAGAAAAAATAATATAGTACAGAAGATTTTTTAAGTAGCAAAAATATGCATTAGTGACACATTAATCTAGTAATTTAGTCCTGTGATGAACTTAACATTGTTTTTTTTTTTTTTATATTTTGTATATACAAAATTTACTATGTAGTTACAGATGAAATGCAGAAACTCAGTCTTAAATCTTTGGGGAAGAGTGCTTATGTTTCTGACTTGATGCTTTTACTAAATAATTATTTGAAAGTCATTTTTGATAGCCCTCTTATTGTCTGCTAAAATTCATGCAAAAGGTGAGCTGATGAGATTTACCTTTGTGTTACTTTGTTTTCTAGTGGTATAAATTAATCAGAACTCTAACAAAGAGAATATTTTAAAAGTGTGTCATCTATCGTAAAAAATCAGAAATTCAACCTAGGTGTATAAGAAGAAATGCTACAATAAGTATAACAGTAAGCCTGGCATGACTGTAAAACAAAGCTGTGCTCCACCTTAATTTTGAGGGGGAGGCGTGACAAGGTCTCACTTTGTCTTCTGGGCTAGAGTGCAGTGGCATGATCATAGCTCACTGTAATCTCAAACTCCTGGGCTTAACCAATCTTCCTGCCTCAGCCTCCCTAGTAGCTGGGATAAAATAAGTGATGAGCAATCCTAAAGCCATACAAAGTAATTGATTACTTATATAAAACTTAAATTTAAAGGACTAATTTTTTTTTTTTTTTTGAGACCGAGTTGCTCGGGCTAGAGTGCCATGGCGTCAGCCTAGCTCACAGCAACCTCAAACTCCTGGGATCAAGCAACCCTACTGCCTCAGCTTCCCGAGTAGCTGGGACTACAGGCGTGGGCCACCATGCCCGGCTAATTTTTTCTATATATATTAGTTGGCCAATGAATTTCTTTCTATTTATAGTAGAGACAGGGTCTCACTCTTGCTCAGGCTGGTTTCGAACTTAAAGGACTAATTTTTTTTACCAGTGTTTCTATGAAATTACTCTTCAACTGCTTATTTCTGTTATACTTAGATAAATTCAGCATTACAGAACAAAATTTTACTAGTCCAATCTCTTGAGGTAGCAAAATAAACATCAGTATAATTAAACAGAAAGAGAAGAACACCAATTTCTAATTTTCCTTTTAAAAATGTTATTAAGCTTATAAAAGTTCAGGATGTTGTTTAAAAAGTTTATTTTATTGATTGAAACAGAGTCTCACTCTGTTGCCCAGGCTGGAACACAGTGGCTATTCACAGGCATGATCATAGCACACTACATCCTTGAACTCCTGGGCTCAAGTGATCTTCCCTCCTCAGACTCCCAAGTGGCTGGGACTATAGGCATGTGCCACTGCACTTTCTTTCATTTTAAAAGTTTAAAATGTCAGAGGTTATAGGGGAAAAAACTAGTTTTCTAAGATACAAAAGATATTTTAACAAATAGGAGTAGTTAATTTGATTTTTTTAAAAAGATCAATAATTTAATTTATATATAATGCATATACTTTATTTCTCTCTCATTTTTGTAGGTTCTGCCGGAGACTTCCATTTGGCCTCAATGTGAAATTAAAGCAGAAAATCACATCTACATGTATGTTGCTATCAGGATGTTGATTCATTGGTCACGCCTGAAGAGGGAAATTCTGTTTTAGATGGCTGACTGCCAGCAAAAGTAAATGCTTATCCTAGATGCCAAGCATCTCTCCTTTTTACTGGAGTGAAAATCCCCTCCAGATACCAACAGAATATCAACTACAGAAAATGCTTTGCAATTTAAGAATGTCAGCAACCTAAATTCATGCACCCTATCTGTACAGTTGTTGTGGATGGTTTGCCATCTGAAAGCTCCGCAAGTTCTTATCCAGGCCCTGTGTCTGTTTCTGAAATGTCTTTGCTTCATGCTTTGGGTCCAGTGCAGACCTGGCTAGGACAAGAGCTGGAAAAATGTGGCATCGATGCCATGATTTATACTCGGTATGTCCTCAGTCTTCTACTGCATGACAGCTATGATTACGACCTGCAGGAACAGGTATTTACACGTTTTAAGTATTTTGTAAAAATTGTGTCTTTATGTATACATTTCTTCTTAAAAGAGTCCATTCATGCTCTAGAGCTGAGCTGTTCGGTGTGTGTGGTGTGTAGACTTTCAAACTGTCAGTGACAAGATGGTAAAAATCTGCCTTGGAATGTAAATCAGCCATGTCACTGAGCATACTGTGTGGTTTTTTTTTTTCCTTGAGACAGAGTCTCGCCTTGTTGCTCAGGCTAGAGTGAGTGCCATGGCGTCATCCTAGCTCACAGCAACCTCAAACTCCTGGGCTCAAGCGATCCTGCTGCCTCAGCCTCCCGAGTAGCTGGGACTACAGGCATGCACCACCATCCGGCTAATTTCTTCTATATATATTAGTTGGCCAATTAATTTCTTTCTATTTTTAGTAGAGACGGGGTCTCGATCTTGCTCAGGCTGGTTTCGAACTCCTGACCTCGAGCAATCCGCCTGCCTTGGCCTCCCAGAGTGCTAGGATTACAGGCGTGAGCCACCGTGCCCGGCCTGAGCATACTGTTTAATATAGTTATTTTCTTCATAGTTAGACTTTTTCAGTGTTGATTACATTTTGACACAGACTACAGATCTTTCCATGGACTGGCAAGTTTGATGACCTGCTACCTTTTAATAACACTGCTCCAGAATTTCTACTATTTAGGAAACTCATGTATTGTGATTAGATATCTAATCATTGAACCTCTTATATACTTTGTATCATTCAAAATTTAATATTGTATTTTATCTACAGCAATGACATTAAATTGCTTATTAATCAGTGTATGTGACAAATCAGTAGAATTAAAGTTCACTAAAGCATATAACTTTGCCATAAGTCACTGTGTATCACCTTGTAAATTGGTCAAACACATTTTATTAATATTTGACTTTGCTGTTGAGTTTAAAATGAAAAACCAACCAAATCTAGGTTCTTAAAAAATCTCAACTAAAAAACTATTCATTCTCTATGACTACACATTTACAACTGAAGTACATGCTATCTGAATTATGAGAAATATCTTCCTCATTTTCAGAAATAAAAGTTATTCCATGTTTGTAGACTTAACATCTTACTTGCCTATAGTGAAGTATATTTTACATTCATTAGAAAGATAATGGCAAATAACATAGCTTTGTTAAGGAAATTATACAAAATACTGACCACCAAATAACATATTTGCTGATTATTAGGTTATAAATGAATCCCCTCAAAACCTTACATGACCTAATTCTCACCAGCCAACGCAGTAAACAACCTGGAAGCAGGAAAAATGAAGTTGTGTATAGCCAGAAATGCTGAGAAACACCTCTCATCAAATGCACTCTGTACCACTGATGTATGAAAAATGTTAAGCACAGGTGGAACCCTTTGTATGTACTATTTATAGGACTTTGAGGCTTTTTATTGTGGTTTGGAAGGGCAAAGCCAGTTTCTTCTGTCAATGAAACTTTGTTTTTGCTTTCAGTTTTAGTAACAATGGTTTAAAATGGCAATAAAAACTGCCCACAAAATATCCCCTTCTTTCCACCAAGGGTCCATAAAAACCAAAAGATTTTAAGTGAAATTAGTTCACAGAAGCCACTGAGAGCCGATTCATTCACTGCTGATGGCTCTAATTCTGTTTTGGGCAGGCCTCACTTTCAGTAGCTCCTCTTAAAGAGTGAGACAGAGGTTGAGATTTTTTTTTTTTTTTTTTTTTTTTTTTTTTTTTTTTTTTGAGACAGAGTCTCACTCTGTTGCCTGGGCTAGAGTGCCATGGCATCAGCCTAGCTCACAGCAACCTCAAACTCCTGGGCTCAAGCAGTCCTTTTGCCTCAGCCTCCTGAGCAGCTGGCACTACAGGCATACGCCACCATGCCCGGCTAATTTTTTATATATATTTTTAGTTGGCCTATTAATTTCTATTTTTAGTAGAGACGGGGTTTCATTCTTGCTCAGGCTGGTTTCCAACTCCTGACCTTGAGCGATCCATCCACCTTGGCCTACCAGAGTGCTAGGATTACAGGCGTGAGCCACCACACCCGGCCTCTCTTTTAAAGGTGGCAAAGCAGATGTATGATCCAAGAGGAGGACGTGCTTACTAATTCCCTGAGAAGATAGTTAGGGTATGAAGCTGAGGGCAGTTCTCCTTCCAACAGGAGTAAGTAGAATGGAAGGGGCCACGCTTAGCTTCTGTGATTCAGAACTCCAGCTAACAGCCAGGCTAGCAGATCTGTTCTAGGTGAGGAAGTATACCACCTTTCCTCTTTGTGCTTGTGGTGGCACAGCCTCTCAGGTGGAGGCCAGACTGCTCTGCTCTTTGGTGTCCTCACATCTTTTCTCACCCCTTGATCCTTGAGTTAGTCTAGCCCTGAATTGCATATGGCCAGTTTTAAGGGCATTGCTTCAACTACTAGCCTTATCTGCTGGATTTAATCCATCACTTTTCCCAGTCTTTGTTAAAACAAATACACAAAGCTCTTGAGTTCTGAAACAGATTTTAAACATCAATTTGGTTTTAGCCGTGCAGGATGGTTAGGTAGGAAGTAAGGCTGATCAGTCCCTAGTCTTGTTTGAGGCTAAATAACCAAGTTGAGTTACCTATAAACCTCTCATTTGGGCAGCGTTGTGAATACAGTTGTGTGAGTTGGTTACTATGTAGTTCTAGAGAAGAACTGCCTTCCAGTGCTGGGATATAGCTGGGTCAGTAATTTTATTTCCACAAGTTTTCCTTTTTTTTGATCATGATTACTCTGTCTGGTAAGTATATTCTCAGATAGTTAGGAATTCACTATGTACCATTTTTAGATGACAATGAAAAACTGCATTTTTTCGCCATCCTTCAAAGCCCAGGTCACCTTTCTCTGTGAAATTTTTTCTGTTAATTCCTGATGAAAGCAATGTCATCTACCAAACTTGATCATATTTCTCCTGCAAAGCTCTTCATTATAAGTTAGTAGAATGTATTATATTTCTTAATAGATTATAATATGTTTATGGGCAGAAGTCATAAATTCATCTTTTTTTTTTTTTGAGACAGAGTCTCGCTCTGTTGCATCAGCTAGAGAGTACAGTGGTATCAGCCTAGCTCACAGCAACCTCAAACTCCTGGGCTCAAGCAATCCTCCTGCCTCAGCCTCCCATGTAGCTGGGACTACAGGCATTCGCCACCATGCCCGGCTAATTTTTTTTTTTTTTATATATTAGTTGGCCAATTAATTTCTTTCTATTTATAGTAGAGACGGGGTCTCACTCTTGCTCAGGCTGGTTTCGAACTCCTGACCTCGAGCAATCCGCCCGCCTCGGCCTCCCAGAGAGCTAGGATTACAGGCGTGAGCCACCGCGCCCAGCCATAAATTCATCTTTTAAAAAACTTTTAACTTTTTCTTGTGAAATAATTTCAGACCTTGGAAGATAGCAAGAGTAGTAATGTTCTCTTCACTCAGTCATCAGTTGTTAGTATGTTCCCTCTTTTGCTTTCTTTCCCTTTTTTTCTGATATATAGTAGTTTACATATTTTGGGAGTATGTGTGACAATTTGATACATGTATGCAATGTGTAATGATCAGGGTATTTAGGGCACCCATCTCAAATGTTTACCTTTTCTTTGTTTTGGGAACATTGTGATTCTTCTCTTCTACCTATTTTGAAATATACAATAAATTACTATCTATAGTCTTCTTACTGCACTACCGAATACTAGAATTTATTCCTTCTGTTTTTGTACCCGTTAACCAAATTCTCTTCATTCTTCATCCCTCCCTCTGCTTGTACTTTATTTCTGTCCTCCCTCCTTCTGCCCACTTCTCCTGAACAAATTAGTGTGTATTTCTTTTCTTTCTTTCTTTTTCTTTTAGAGACAGGGTCTTTCTCTGTTGCTTAGTCTGGAGTGCAGTGATGTGATCACAGCTCACTGCAGCATCAAGTAGTGCTGCTTCAGCCTCCCAAGTAGCTGGGACTCCAGATGTGAGCCATTGTGGTATTTCTTTCTTCTTCTGCTGCTGCCTCCGCTGCTGACGCTTTCTCTTCCTCCTCCTCTTCCTCCTTTGCTTCCTCCTCTTCTTCTTCCTCCTCTTCTTCTTCTTCTTCCTCCTCCTCTTCCTCTTCTTCTTCCTCTTCTTCCTCCTCTTCTTTCTCTTCTTCTTCTTCCTCCTCCTCTTCCTCTTCTTCTTCTTCCTCCTCTTCCTCCTCCTCTCCTCTCCTCTTCTTTTTTTGAGACAGAGTCTTGCTCTGTTGCATCAGCTAGAGAGTACAGTGGTATCAACATAGCTCACTGCAGCCTCAAACTCCTGGGCTCAGGCAATCTTCTTGCCTTAGCCTCCCAAGTAGCTGGGACTACAGGCATGCACCACCATGTCTGGCTAATGTTTTCTGTTTTTGTAGAGATGGGATTTTGCTCTTTTTGCTCAGGTTGGTCTTGACCTCCTGAGCTCAGGTGATCCACCCACCTCAGCCTTCCAGAATGCCAGGATTACAGACATGAGCCACCATGCCGGCATGTGTGTTTCTTGAGATCAAGGACTTTTTTTTAGATAGCCACAGTACAATTATAATCAGGAAAATTAATACCAATATAACATCATCTAATCCATAGTCAACATTCAATTTTTGTCAGTTGTCCCAATAATGTTCTTTTTTTTTTTTTTTTTTTTTTTGAGACAATCTCAACTTGTGCCCAGGCTAGAGTGACGTGCCGTGGCGTCAGCCTAGCTCACAGCACCTCAACTCCTGGCTCAAGGCGATCCTGCTGCCCGTCAGCCTCTCCGAGTAGGCGGGACACAGCATGCGCCACCATGCCCGGCTAATTTTTGTATATATATTTTTAGTTGGTCAATTAATTTCTTTCTATTTTTTTGGTAGAGACGGGTCTCGCTCAGGCTGGTTTCGAACCCTGACCTTGAGCGATCCGCCCGCCTCGGCCCCAAAGTGCTAGGAACAGGCGTGAGCCACCGCGCCCCGGCCCCAATAACGTCTTCGCTTACACCATTTTTTTCCTAATCCTGTA